AATGCATTCATTTCCTACTTAATTTTCATTTCATTCCTAAGCATTTTTTTCCGTTAATTTATTAGGGCCCACCAGCGGCCGAGCGGTAAAGTCGCTGAACACTGGTAGTTCGGTCCGAGGTTCGAATCCTGCGAATGGGCTGGCTGCATGGGCGTTTTCGTGGTTTTCCCCATGTGTAACGTGTATACGAGCCAGTTTCCCTTAGAAAGTCCTCCACGAAGGCATCCCTCCTCTTAGGCAGATAGCCCTAGTGTGCTTTGCCATAATTAAATACACACCACACCGTTAATTTATTATCCTATGTAGAATATGGCATACATGTATTATCCTGCTCACCAACTTATGATGAAACTGTGCTTAAAAAAAGGAATAATTGTTGAGTCATGTGTTTACTTTTTGCGGGGGGGAGAAACGAGAAAAATTGACTGTGCCTTCGACGCAGGGATCGTCCACCAGCAGCCGAGGGGGTAAAATCTCTGAATATTAGTAGTTCCGACCTAGGTTCGAATCCAGGAGAACAAGCTGGCTGCATGGGCGTTTTCGGGATTCCCCGTGTGTAACGTGTATGCGAGCCAGTTTCTCTTACAAAGTCCTCCCCAAAGACATCCCTTAGGCAGATACCCTTTGCTTACTTTGCCATAATAAACTAAACCAAACCAAAATCTGACTTAGGGGTCTTGTAATTGCTAACTGGATACGCTAATCATTTGCCCGACAACAGCGTGTACAAGATAGGCCGGAAATTCCTTGCAACATTACTCTTTTAAATTAAATATTGTTCCATAAATGCATAGAGGGATACTTTTTTATTATATAGTAACTTTAATTCACAAGAAAGTATATCTACTTTCTGACTTAAGAAGACTACATTCAGCAAAGCTTAATTCAAATCAAATTTTATGTAAGCTATATAATGCAGGTGCTGTGTCAGAATCTTTAGAAATATATGCTGTATATTTAATATAAATTTGAAATATTTGGAAATGTATGTTTATATAATCTGAATGTTTCATCATAACAGATAACAAAATTCCTAGCTTTAGAACAAACGTAAACAATTTCATTCCGTAATTGAAAGTTGCATAAAAAACTGCACGATGCCTGACATCATTAAATCCGTCTTTCCGTGCAAGGATTTGGGATCGGATTAACCGTACTTAATTTTAATTTTTTTTCTTTAATGCTCATTATTTTTGCTTGAATCGACATTAAACTTGGAAACATCATTTTCAAGATTTTATTTTCAGTAAGCGTTATTTAAAGCTGTACCTTTTTGACATAGCGTCTGAGTGATGTTTTTGTGATCTTTGTTGCTCTTGCTGAAGGTGCAGTTTAAAGCTATTATCTTCTTTTAAAATAATACGAAGGATGTTCGTGTAAGAGATAAGGAAGGCTGTCCTGCAAGGATGAGTCACAGCATTAACAAAATAATAGCTGCCTGTTCTTAATGTAAGTCACTTAATGTATGGAAGTACGTTATCCAGAAGGCATCTTTACCTGATCATTACTTTAAAGCAGTAGTGTCCAATTTAAATTGCGTCATAAAATCTACGAGCCACACAATATCTTATTTTTTACCAAAATTTAGCAATATATCATGGAATAATAAACACTAGTTTCTTCAAGAATTTTATCGAACTAATTCATATAACCTTCGTACGAATATTAGTCCTCACGGGCCTAATTCTACTCAAAGATTTTTTTTTTTTTTTTTTTTTAAGACTATTTGAAGTTGTATATTTACGCAATCTGAATACAATATGAGTTTGACAGTGCTTACAATTTTATTATATTTTATTTATCATATAAAGAATGGAAGCGCAGTTCTGTAAAATGGCAGTAAAATAATAGATGTTAGTTAATTAATTAGTAGTTTGACGACAACTAATATAACTAAATATACTGACGAAAACTTGGAAATATTTTATAATTCATATATTGCAATATTAAAAAGTACATATTGTATTGTTAAAATATAGTAACGGTTCATATCTAGAAAATAATTTCGAATCTAGAAGCCCAAATGGAATACGGAAAAGTTCGTATCTTGAAAGTAAGTTCGTGTCCGCAGGCAAACTAAGGTTCGTACTCAAAAGATTTTCACTTTAAGCAGTTCGTAAATCGAAGTACTTTATTTTTTAAACCAAAACAATCCTAAAAATATACGTCAAGAATTAAAGAAAATGAAAAAGTGTCTTTGAAATGTCATTTAGATGTAAATTTCAAATTTCAATAAGAGAACTTATGGCGTTTTTCATGCGCTTTTACATGTATAAAGCTGCCTGTATACAACAATTATATAATGTTTATACACATAAATATACGTACATATTCCTTACCAAAAGATCTTATATAATTCTATAAAAAAAATCCAATGTTAAAATTCTTTAGAATCCATTAGAATCATGGTCCAACTCCCTGTAAACTAAATTAGATATCTATAGAATTCTAAAAAAATTTAAACATGGCTTCTGTACAAATTCTTCACGTTTAGAGATTGTATAGAAATATGTATAGATATTCTGTAGAGATCAGTGGAAAGGTTCTATAAAAATTTGTACAATATCTTAAAGGTCCTTCATATAGAACTTTATATAATTAATTTTATGACCAAAATTCATTTTACGCTTTTATAAGCTTTAATTTTCGTATTGTATAAGCAGTATTATACAAAAAAATTGCACAAAATGTTACTTAAATTTAAAAACTATTAAACGTTGAGCTAGAGGGAAAATTTTCCATTTTAAAATGATTCAACATTTATGAATAAAAAAAAATTTTTTTTGCTCTCCCACATGCCATATAACATATCAGAAATTAAAAATTTGGTTTGATTCTAGTTTTGCAAATCTCTATAGAACACTATTCTATAAGGCTTTAAAAATTTCTTTTACCATTTTCCGTACCAACATTTCTATTGAATTCTTTTCCGTAAAAACGTTATGAAATTTCTATAGAATTTTATAGAGAAGCATTTCTACACAGAATTATTTATAAATTACTACAGGAATTTCTATAGAGCTCGCCAATCTCTATAAAATTTTTTCGTTCGGGATATGTATATAATACCATATAAAAATTGTGTTATTTATTGCTTGTCTCCTCTAATCTAACCATTTTATCAAGTATTCAGATGATTAAAAAAATTGATAATCACACTTTAAGATGGAATCTCTTTATAAATGTGTTAACTCACTACTTAACAATCGTTCTTTAAAATTTTTCAAAGTAAATGTATAAAACAAGAAGACAATATTTTCGTTAGGCTGTTATAATATCAAAAATACTATTTTTTAATTTTGTTTCCTTATAGGCAAAATATGGGCAAAAACCAAATTTTGAAGAATAATTCAGATTTACATTTTGAAGAATAATTCAGATTTATTCAAATTACTTTGAAGAATAATTCAGATTACACTTTTGCGTTACTTTTCTAGTAAGCATGTAAATTTAAAATCAGTTAACGTCAATTGTTTCAAATTATTGTAAAGAATTTTTTCTTTTAAATAAATAACGAATAATATCTTGAAGCACAGACGATACTAATGCTAAGAGTAGACTATTAATTTTAAATCAACTAATTTTTTCCTATATGTATAAAAAAACTAAAAGTTCTTATTTCTTTGCAAAACGACAATTTTCGAGAAAACGAAATAAATTTCAATTTAATATAGACAGGAGTTTAATTTTGTTGCAATATTCCTGTCTTATCTTTTATCAATAATTTTATTTTAAAAATTTACGCAATTGCGAACAAAGCAAGTAAATGTGCTTTACGTTGATAATTAACTGCTTCTTACACGTGTTTTGCCTCTGCTGATCTAGCCATTTTATCAAGAATTCAAATGATTAGAATGCACTTCTATAAATATGCACAAAGGAAAGAAACGTTTTGCTTTTTCAAATTTGAAATTTGACTAGCATCTAAGGCCTAAACTTTCATAATGTAAAATTTCATATTAACATAGTAGCTCTCTTCTAAATTCCTTTTTTACTAAACTTTATTTATTGAGAAAATATAATTGAACTTTTAGATATTGAGATAGAGGAAGGAAGCTTTTTTTTTTTTTTTTTTTTTTTTTACAGTCACAAATTAGATTTAAGAAGAGGAGTTTTGAGGGAAATTATAACTAAAATCTGGCCAGGACATAATATAAATATGCATTTCAATGTATTTGGTAAAGCAACCAGCAATTATTGTTTACATTAATAATGATAGTTTATTTCGAAGTGTGAGAAACTTTGAAACGTAATTAAAATCAAGAAAATCTACTAATAATCTTATGTCTGCTTTAGAAAAATGAAATACAAAATAATAGGGGCTTGAAATCGCATGGTTCTGATGAGGAATTAAGCAGCATATGTCAGCTTCAAAGTGATAATGAAAGTAATAAAAATATTTCTTGTCATTTGATAATATTTTTTATTTTATTAAAGGGAGAAATATTACGTGGAAAAATAATATAAACTATGCAACAAAAATAGTGTTGTAAATACTTTATTTTTCGATGTCTTAATGAAAATGTGTTCAACGTTGCAAAACATTGGCTAAAACAGAGCCAATGTTGAGCAACGGCAAAATGGAGAACAATTATATTCCAAGACTACTTCATATTTTTTAAATAAACATTTTCATGAAACTGCATAATTAAATTTCTTATTTTTTATTATTCACTTTAAGCATTTAAATATCATTTTTCTTAAAATTGATTAGAATTCTTCATAAGCGACGTAAGATTAAATTTAATTAATATTCATAAAATATTATCTTAGTTATAACAGAATAATTAAATTTTATAATTATTTTTTAAAAGGGACTGTGAAATACTTTTCTTTAATATTTGTGTATAACTACTATAATTATAATTGACACGCTATGAATCATAAAGGCAACAATAACAGTTGAATTAAAACATAACAGTAGAGAACAAAATTGTCCAAACAGATAATTATGGGGCCCTTGGCTCAGAATCCCCATAATTTAACAAAATATGACTCACCGGTCTTCAGGGTAGCACTGCAACAAAGGACCGCTAAAAACACATAGAGCATGATGAATCCCGCGCTAAGATTTTCATCTCTCCTATCGCGCTGGACGAGATCCTATTTGCAAAAATCATCTTCTCAAGAAATTATTATTTACATGAAAAGATGAACTTTGGTCAAAAATTGCAACAGACGCCGCGCTGAGCAGCGCATGGGTGACAAAATGAGATAACGGAACCCGCAAAGAAGCGCGTACGCGATTCAAAACCGATAAAAGGGGAAATAAAAAAGCAAAGCATAAAATTTACTAGACGCGTATATAATCGGGGGAAGGACAAAAGCACCCCGCAGAACAGCTGCCGTTACTCGGTGGAAAAGGGGAACGCTTCCGGTCACGATTTCAGTAGTGCTGCCATCTGTCGAACAATTACTAAACTACATCCGTTGCACCTTATTCAATTGTCCTTGAGGTTAACGCTCACAAGGAATCACCTCTTCTAAACATAGTGATGAGAAAAATTGTCAGATTTTTCCTGTTTCATATATGCCGGTGTCTTGCTAACGGACCGCTTCGATTCTTATTTTTAATCGCCTTAAAATAATCCGATTTTGTGTTTAGCTAGATTCTAGAAACATAATTTACTTTTATGTACTTTTCCTTAAGAAAGTAAATGGGGTCGAAGATACTAAAGCATTTCGTATAATCTACATCCCGAAAAATTGCTTTTTGTTATAGCTTCGACCTTGAAAAGTATATTTTCCTTGTGTTCTTTTCTATTTTTGCATTGCACCACTTTGCTAAGATGTTTTAAGCTTTCTCTTTCAGTTCAAACACAAATAATGCTAAGTTGAAGATTATATTTCGTGGTCGTGCGACTTACTTGGATTTTTCGATTTTCCTTACCAGTCACGATCCTCTGACCATAGTTTGGCACATAAGTGCTACCACACACGCATACACAAATTTTAAAACAAAATTTTTATTTTTATTTCTTCTTATTGTAGGATATTATTTAATTTTGCACAATTTAAAAAGCGTAACTTGATTACACAAGTTATTTGTCTTTAATTTACGTTTTAATTTTGCATAATGCTGTATTATTATTAAGTAATATGAAAATTTTTTTAAAGAAAATTAGAAAAAACTTTGACAATTGTACAATGCTAAAAACCGGTTACCTTGTTCAGAGCTTAATTTCTAAAATTAGAAGTGCCGAAGCCCTATGGAAGACTGTGATGAACGAAAGAAAAAATAAATAAACAAAATAGCTAAAAATTTAAATAATTAAGTTTAAATTAGGAGAAATGTAAACAGAAATCTAATAAATTATTAAATTAGTTTTAAACAGTTAAATAAAAAAATCTGACTTTGTCTTATTTGGAGCATCGGCTGGAATTACAATTCCACTTAGAAGCTAAGAAGCAGATCAGCCGATCTCTATCTGAATTTAAACCCTCATTATACGTATAATATTCGAAGGGATAACCGGCACCCCTCTTATTTTGCAGCACATCAAGGAAAAAATATAAAACGATTAAAACTCCATAAGAAAAATCATAAGAATTCTAGACACAGTATTAAGATATGGAAGGAAATTTTAACGGAAAAGTGCAGCTTAGAAAATAAAGAGGTAAGAGTTCAAGACTTTCTGATCGCGACGACCTCTGGATATAATTCTAGCCGTCAAGGAGAAATTTTCGCCGAATACGATTCAGTAACAACGTAAAAATAAAAATAAGACTTCTCTATACAAGTGACAGCAGTGGCGCACCCTCTCGTTCGGTTACATCATTCAGACAGTCTACAAGAGTTCTCCAATAGGAAGTCACTAGCGTGGAACGTGCAAGACCAGGGTATCACTTTTAGTACTTTGAGGAACACAAAATTTATCCGTTGTCATAAATTCATTGCACATCCTGGAGAATAAGCCTTTGAGATATGATTGGAGTTTTTTTCTTTCCTTAAAAGTCTCAACCTCTGTTCAAGGTTTGAATGCGAAGGAAAGACAGGCCTGCATTCAGAAGTTAGAATCGATTTTGAAGGCGTGTGGTTCACTTACATAAAAGAAGTGCCGAAGGGTTCCGGATAAATTATAATTTATCTCGAAAACTGAGAAGTACCGGAGGCGGGTTCCGGCGCAATTTAAGCTCTGACCTTGTTCAAGGAATGGAGGTTTTTTGACCAATTGTAAAGCATCCCCTAGCCACCAGCAAGTAAGTACGCCGATTTCGTTGGAGAGAACATGTCAAATTAATCGTAAAAATGTTAGTGTATTATTTAGTATTGCATCATATTATTATTTTTTATATTGAATTTTTGTTGTATTATGTATGTGTATCCTCAATAAGAAAAATTTATTTAATTAATTGTAAAACTGAGTATTATATTTCAATTTCATTTCATTGAATATGAGTTTAACTAAATATGAAAAATTATATTTTTCCTGAATATTGAAGTTATATTTTACTGAATGGGAAAATAATTTGAAAATTATATTTTGCTGAATATGAAAGTATATGAAAGCTCATAATTCAATATATACTATAATGAAAATGAGTTCATCAAAAAAAATTTGACAGATTTTTTAGTGAACATTTACTTTATGAAAAACCTGAACATTTACTTTTGAAAGACATTTTAGTAAACTTTAAACATTTACCAGGTGGAACTATTTTCATCAAGAGACTTCTAAAACAATTTTCATTGAACATTCAAAAAAACATTGGACATTTTTTCAAAAAGGAATTAAGGACTTTTAAAATTATATTTGTCTTAATTTATTAGTTAGCTTATTTAGAACTTATGTTATTGCAATAATTGTAAATTAGTTGTTTAAAACACCATAATCTATGTATGAAAAAGGTCATGAATCATGACAGGGCATAGGTAAACCTGCAGGCTATGTCCTTGATACTACTTCATGTCTTTCCTCATATACTAAACTCTCTCCTGCTTTGCTAATCCTTTCCGCCGCCCTGCTTTCCCGACCTTTCTTCTGAAGGGGGGGATATGTAAGATATAACAAAATACGATAGCTGCTTTAAAAAATAATTGGCGACTCCAAAATTAGCATTCTAGATTTGGTGATCTCCCCCTATATTCATCTGTTCTACCAAATTCGAGATCTTTCGTTGTTACAACTAACCAATCATAGCTTATTTCTAGAATCGCACCTATTCTGGTACAAAAACTCTTGGCAGTTAATTAATACTCTTGGCACTTCTTCTGCTAGCTCCCACCTTTCTAATACCTCCTCGCTTTGTTTCCCCGTCTAAAGTGTGTGCGTCTTAAATTTAAGAATCAATGTAAATAGCAGTTATCATATTTCATTATGATTGAATCATAGAAATGTATCAGATTTAATTATGATTGGATAAACATCTCTGGAGATGATTTATGATTTTATATGTGTGAAAATAAAGACTGAAAATTCTTCAAGTTCATATTTTGTTATCTTGATCTGTAAGCCTTCACGCTAAGCTATGACGATTGAACTTTTACATGATAAATGAATAACGTATTTTGAATCCAAGATAATGATTACTATTATTATACTAGTTTTTGCAGTTTGCCTGTCGTTAAAAATGACTGTGAAATGATAGATAAAGTCTTTCTTTTGGAATAAAGACTGAAATTAATCTTGAAGCGGGAAATGACGGAAAGAAAAGCATGATAGTGAATGAATATATATCTTAGTATATTAAGCATTATTTGAAAATTAAACAGTCATTTAAAAGAAAGATGAACATCCAAATGATGACAGAGTTAGGTGCATTCCCATGTCACCACAAAAAAAAAAGCCTTCTATGTGAGTCATGGACCTAACCGAAAGCAAAGACTTTGCATTATTCTTCCATAAGGATTTTAGATTTCCGACTGGTTACATTATTTTGAAGGTCATATGAAAGGTTAGTGAAGCAAGATGCAGAGCGCAGCCAGATCTGGGAGGTGCCCAATAGCTGAGCAGAATTTCTTCTACAGAAGCTAATTTTTCATAGTTTTAATTACTCTTATCCATATCAACGCAAGAAAGTATCTGATTTAAATTCAGACTTTCGAAAAAAATTATATATTTTCAACGTATATTTTTAGTGCATTGAAAAAATAAAGTTCTAATTTCTTAATACTGTTGCGTTTTTCTTCTCTGACACCAGTTGTTACGTTATTTTCGTCCTTAACGTTCGCACGGGGTTTGTGAGGATTTGGAGTGAATAATGACAATACTAATTTGATGAAGTATCGAAACACACTTTGTTTACCAATATTAATCAGGACAGCTCCAAACCACTTTCACAGTCGTCGAAGATCTACAATAAATACGCTCGAACAATCAGCGACACAGCCTTCACACTGTCAGGCAATAACGGTGGAGACAGCTTCACTGCAAAGTACCAGAGTACAGCTTCCAACTCTGCTTGGTCATTCTCGGAACTCCACGTACTCTCCAGACTCTCCACGCGATGCACTCAACGATACACAAGAGTATAGCTCTCGACTCAGCACAGTCTAAGACAAAACTCGACGATGCACTAATTCGCCATGACTAGAAGACTCCTTCGGTGCATTCGACGACCAACTCGGCCCTCGCTGCCCGGCTGTCAACTCAATTGACTCCGCAGGGATTGACTCGCTAGACGAGACACCAAATCGATACTAGCTTACTCGCACTCTAGACGAGGCACACATACTAACTGACTGCGGACCAGCAGGGTTCATATAGCTTTCGGCTTGTGTTCGAGAACATTCTGGGCTAAACCGTAAGAATTCGTTCCAGAAGGTTCTCCATCCGTCCATGGTATACCGCCAATTTTATCGCCAAATGGGCGATTTCTCGCTAAATGGAGCAACCCTGCCTTCCTTTGCCATTTTATGGCAACCCTAAAACTGCTTCGCAGGGAAGCTATCTTACCGCGCATGTACATTTCGTAACAATACATAAGTGTGCTTCAATCATTTTAATGACATCCTTCGTTATAGTGTTTCAGGGTCCTGAATTCAAGATCTATTTTTGACTCAACTAATTTTATGACTTTATTAATATATACATTCTGCTTGTGCTAATTAATTTACGAATATTTGAGAAGATATTTAGATTATATTAATAATAATAATAATGATGTAACAAATAAAAATGTTGAATCAAATTCAATGAAAATTTGAAAGACTGTAAAATTTAAAATCCAGTCTTTGATGACTTATCTATTCTTTAGTCCAGGGATGTCAAACTCATAGGTACACTTGGGCCAAACAAACAAGGTTTAACTTTAGGCGGGCCGGAAAAAAAAAAAAAAAAAAAAAAAAAATCAATATTCATAGAAACGT